GGCATTTTCGGGGGTAGGAATAGGGGGAGAGTATGTACAAATGAAGAACATGGTAATTAATAAATATCTCCAGAGTATTAGTCACATTACAGACCATAAGTTTTAGTGACTCAGACAGAACATGTGTAAATATCAAGGGGCCTATCAATTGACCATGACAACTGGTGCCTTTTGGCAAAGACTGATACTTCTGGCATTTTGAAGAGCTAGGTTGCCTACACTTTTTTTCTTAAGTGAGAACTGTCTTGTGAAGTTCTGTTTTAAGAGCCATAGTGAAATAAAACAGTATTTCTCACAGTGTGTCTTTAGAATCCCCTTAAGTACTTATTAAACATGCAGGTTCCTGGCCCTTATCTCAGTTCCACGAACTCAACTGGCCACTCATCAGAATTTTTAATTCTGTAGATTTCGAGGCCTTCCTCTAACCTACTTAAGAATATCTGGGGGCTGAAGTTGAGAATCATGTATCTTCTGATAGGAGGGCACAATATAACTTCTGTGTGCTTTTGCCAAAGTGCATCCGTGTATACTAATGAAGAGAAAACCTAAATGGAAAGATATTCTGCAAAATAATTTTCTGATACTTTTCAAAAATGTCAAGGTCATTTGAGACAGATAAAGTTGATTAGAGGAAGAGACTAAGAGGGCATGATAATGAAATGCAAGTGGGATTCTGGATTGGATCCCGGTCCAGATAGAGCACATCAGTGGGATCATTAATGAAATTAGGATAAGGTCTGTACATTAATTTAAAGTATTGCATAAGTGTGAAGTAATTAATTATATTTAATTTTTAAAATTCGTTTCGAGTTCTTATTTAACAATTTTTATATCTATATAACTTTTGTTCTTTTATGTTATAGGCTTAGGATCTTTATTACCCAAGCCAGGCAGACTTTCAGACCTTCCAAAATAAGTGTGTGAATTCCATTGGACTTGTATGCACTTTTCCTTCACTTGCAATCCCCACTATTAGGTGATGTTGCCTGGCAATTAATAATTGTGGGGTTGTTTTTTTAAAACTGATTAGCGGGGTATAACATTGATTTAGTGAATTTCTATCAGCACTGAAAAATTAAATAGGATAGAAAATACTAGTGTAAAAGTAAGATTAAATATGTCTTCATGAAACTTGTTTCAGTTACACATATGTATTTTGTGTGTGTACTGTGCTGGATGGTCATGTAAAATGTATTTTGTACGCTTGGTCACCATCATAAAAAATTTGAAAGCCCTTCCTTTATGAGCTACCAGTCTTATGAAGATGTATGAAATAGTCAAAAGTACTGTGTTGTAAAGATGACAAGGAATATAGATTGTTTTGTTTGACACTTTTGGAACATTTTGGGGCCAAAAGTCAGGGGGTTGTCTAAAAGTAGGAGAGGTTTGCTGGGCTTAGAGTCTTAACCTTTTGCATTTTTAATAGACTACAAGTCCCAGTACTGATATCCAGGAAAAATATTTAAATGCAGACTTTCTGATATGCCTACAAATAGGTAAATCTGTTGTGATTCCAAATCCTGTGCTTTATCTCAAGAACAGCTTGGCTGTAATGTTTAAGGGTACGCTGGAAAACACTAAAAAGCAATTTAAAACAAAACAAAGCAAAAATTAGATGAGCCAGAAAGATGGACAGAATGTGCCAAAGAAGAACATAGCAATTGCTCAAGAAGCAGGAAGTGGACTCATTTCACTGCTGTTGTGGGCAGCTTTCCAAATACTTTAGGCTAGGGGCCATACATGGTGTCTTTTTCCTACAACTTTTGCATTTCTGCTAAGGAAAGTTTTTGAGTACTGTGCTAGTTATTGAGTTATTTTAAGCATTCAGTTTAAAGTGCTGTGTACATGTGGTCTTCCTGCTACCCAGCAGGTGCCCGGCTTGACCTCCAGCTTTTTTTGGAGAGAAGGGCCTATGAAAATGTCCTCAGGAAAAATGTTTTATTATTATTTTTGTTTTGAAATTTAGAGAGATCTGTTAGGGAATAGTGGACTCTTAAGATTGACGAGATCTGTGTTTTATTTCTGGCTCTGCCACTAATTACTATTTAACCATTGCCAAGTAATTTGACTTTTCTCAGCTTCAGTTTCTGTCTTCTGTGAAATATGAGGGGGGCATCTCTAGGATGATGGGAGAATCGAATGAAATAGAAAATAGGAACCAGCTGTAGTCTCTACAAAGCACCTTACAAATGAAAAGAAAGCAGTGATGTTACTGCTTTTTTTCTAATTACTAGAGGAGGATTGCATAGTAAGGAAGGTTGAATGGGTGAAACATCTGTTGGCACATTAAATAATATTTTATGCAGAAATCTATAAGGAAGAAGCTTGATGAGGTTGTCACATCCTATTGAGGTTGAGGCCAAACTCAGTGCTTTAGGAATTTAGCAGAAAGCAGGGGGTGGGGTTATATACCATCTTTACTGAGTAAAACTGTTAAATTTTGCAAAATTAAAGTAGTTGCTCATTCTGGTGGAAATACAACACCTACATTAAACCAATTTAATTTGTATCCTAAAACGTTGTGAGGTTGTGGGACAAATTTTTTATATTTAAGAGGGTGGGTACTGAATTTAATTTCCTGAGACCATTATAATAAGGCAGGCGTCTTTTTAATCCAATTGTTTGCTCTCTGCCCATTGACTAACAAGGTGACTCAGTCTGGCTTTATTCACACAAATGAAATTCTTTGGAACCGGCCAGTGTAGTTTCAACTTAGTTTTATTTCCTGGAGGGGTAGGGTGTGGGATTTAATTCCCTCCCCCCTTAATTTCCCGTAAAGAATATATAGCTCCTTCAGTACAGGCGGATTTCAGCAAGATGAGAGAACACGTTTTTGGAAATCACTGTCTCGCCTTCTTTCAGATGGCGCGAACATTTCCCAAGTCCCCTCTGCAGCTTTCTAAATGAGCATTCACTTGTCAATTTTTTTCCTTTCAAACGATGTTCCCTCTTCTTTTGGTCTAAATGTGTGCAAACATTTTTATGAATTAATTTCTCTCTTTTCTTTGCCTGCATCTATAACTACATATTTCCTGGAGAATTGTGTTTTAGTGAGATTGTCAGATAGTTTCCTGGCCAACCTCAGTCCATGTTATTTTAGAGCAGTGCATTTTAATTTTTCCTAATTCTGCACTGAAGAAATTACTAACAGGGCATTTAAGTCAGGTGATACAAATGGGACCTAAAGAGATACTAAACAAATAACTAAATAAAATAAAAAAGAGATACTCATAGATGCTTTAAAGAACTATGGTGCTGACACTGGTTTCCTTCCTAGTTCAAAACCATTTCAGAAGCAGCATGAATGACCTTTATTTTCCTCTCTGCAGCACACATGACTATAATTTCCCATGACTATTTATGGTCTCTACAGCCCTTTTCTAACTTCCCTTTAAAAAAAAAAAGTCAACAGAATACGTGTTTCTTTAATGGAAAATGTTCTATTTTGGGGAAGCTGCTTTTCCTCAGATAAGTAGTGGAGTTGTGTGTGTGTGTGTGTGTGTGTGTGTAAGCATGTAGGGGGTGCAAAATTGGGGAGTATTAAATTAGTGGGTTGAGAGTTTGGAATGACAATCCTGGTGATGACTCCTGAATGCAAAGCCTTCTTTTTATCCAAGATTAAAAATAACTGTACCTGGTATTCCATTTTTCTTTTCTTTTTTTTTATTTTAAGGAAGATTTTATTCTTTTTTCCAATGATATGGTAGAATAGTCCTGAATTGAGTGCTGACTGTTTCAGACCCAAGTGATTTTGAAATGAGAAAATGGAGGTTCACTAACACAGTAGTTCTACGTGGAGGCAGGGCAGCTTTGACCTTGCACTACAGCAGGTGAGTCCTGTGGTTCTGAACACGCTCCATGTTCCGGCGGCTGCAGCTTCACCATGGATTATACATCATGGAGATCCATTATGAAGTGAAGCAAGCGTTTGTCTGACTCGTGAGCTGCACATAGTTCCTGCTCTGTCCTTCCCTTCCCTGCCAAATGGTTTGGAACCTTGTCACGGCAAGGATTCTGTCGCAGTTCTGCAGCTTTGCATTTTGCATTTATCTGTATCTCACAATAACTCTAGGATTACTGTTTGACAATATTAGTTATCTTAGGTATAAAAACATTCTTCATATTTTAGTCATTGTTCACTCTGTTATTTGGATAACCAGTTGCATATTTAGATATTATTTATTTGTTCTTAATGTAAAAATTTTTGAATAATAAGATAATTACAGAAAAGAGGACAGATCATAAGTGTAGCACATGATGAATTTTATCAAAGTGAGTGCACTCCTGTAACCAGCACCCCGATCGAGAACCAGACGTCATCCTGTTGGAAAAACCAGTCTTCTCCTAGACACTGCTTCCTCTTCCCTGACTTCTGATACCTGCCTGTTGTTAGGGACTCACACGGTGTATCCTCTGTTCTCTGGCTTCTTTCACTACACATTACTTTTGCGAGATTTGTCCTGTTGATCATGAAGTTGTAGTTCTTCATTTCTCCAGCTTTATAGTGTCCCTTCATCAGAGCAAATCAGCTCCTGCAGTTGTGAACCTGTCAGTAAAATGTGGTTTTGACAACATACTGACAGGGCTTAGTCACTATGTGCTTTAGTTGGGTTGTGATCTAATATCCAATTGTTTTATTACTATAAGAACTTTTTTTCAAAAAGGCAATTATTTTTCTCTTCCTAAAGACAAAATATTTATCACTCTCTCCCACTCCCCAATCAGCTATAAAATTAGTCACTTCGGTCACCTTTTGTGCTCCCATAAAAATCAATTTCTCTCTCTTTGTATTTAAGACACATAGATAGCTGTTGTGTTCATCGTAGACAGGGGAGTCAGGTATCCAGATGCCTGCTAATTCCAGGTCCTGTCTTTAAATTCCCATTTCTAAACCCAGTTTCTAATATGCGAGGTATCCATCAGAAAACTGGGCTTTTTTGAGGATTCCGGACTAGAACTCTGGCTTATCACTGGGATTTTGTTGCATTTTGTCCTTGTAGCCTGAGATTCCTGAATGCATCTGCCAACAAACTGGAAACCCTTCCTGCAGCCACGCTTTCTGAAGAGACGAGCAGCATCTTACAGGAGTTGTATTTGACAAACAACAACCTCACAGACAAGTGTGTGCCCTTGTTAACAGGACACCCCCACCTGAAGATCCTGCACATGGCCTACAACCGCCTTCAGAGCTTCCCAGCAAGGTAAGAGAAGCCCAACGAGGGATGCTTTTCACTGTGTTTCTGAAAATCAAGTCACAGATGGAAAGGCGAAAGCAGTCATTTCCCAGATGACATAAAGCTTGTTTCTCCCTGATTCATCTTCACCGTTGTCTTTTATATAAGCCACGATCAGCACTCTCCTAAAGAGAAATGTGTCGGTTTTTCTAATATGAATATATCCACAGACCCAATCACTAGAACATTCTTATGGTTTTGAGATAAGATATGTTATTTAGCCTATGTATTTTTTTCTTTAGCTTCTTTTTAACCAAATCTTGGAAAACTTAACCTAATATGGTGGTTGGTAACTAGGACATCAATTAGCTACCAGTTTTTGTGTTTTTGCTTATGGGATAGGTAGCCGTGGTGGCTTGTGCAACCATAGAAACTGTGGGAGATTATGAAGGATGTCTGGCCCTCAGAAGATTCCGTTTCTAATAATATTTTGGTGTTGATTTCTGTTTTATGAGCAATGGCATTGTGTCTAGCTCTGCGGGAATCCACACGCCGAGCCTGCCCTGAGGGATTCACTCCCCATCCATGTCCACTTCATTGGCATCCATCCATCACACAAGTTGAGACTTAGAACACATACCCACACATCAAAGGAGCAAACATTAACCTCTCTGGTATTCTGCTAACTGCCACTGAGCCTGGGCCAAAGGAAAATACTGGCACAACGTCCCTCTGCTGCCCTCAGGACTACCTGTTTGTGTAAACCCTACCGAAGGAGGAAGGCCCAAATGGGCATGGACTTTACGTATTGCTCTGTGTTTTGTTTTTGTAGTATTTATTTATTTCTGTAGTTTTTCCCTTGACTTGATGTTAATGATTCAATTTTTTTTTAACTTCTCTGTACTTTACTGTGGAATGAGGAGATGATATTTTGGGATGAAAACATAGTAATCACATAAGATAATACATCTGAAAGGGCTTATTGTCCTATTTCAGATGGTGAATATGCAAGCCCTGCCTGAGAAATGATTATCAAACTCAGATTCTGCGGGTGTTCCCCAGGGAACCATGTCAGTTGTAATCAGCCAGAGTACAGAGAGTTTTTTATGCATTCCATCAAAACGCACCTTGGCATCATTTCTGTCTCCCTGGGGCTTGTGATGTGGCACAGCAGCTGCTCTACAAGACAGGACTGGGACTTACCTGTCTCCTTGAGCCTCCTGTCTCACACGAGGTCTGGCCTAGGGTAGACTCCACGGATGGATGCTGAATTAACGTACTCCATGGTCAAGGCGTTCATGACCACCTTCTTTCCATGTTAACTTCTGTAATTTCTCCTTTCTTGGGCCCGATTGCTAACTTTTGAGTCATTTTTCATGCCTGTTACCCATTGATTTCTCCACATTGCTTTTCAAAATATGATGATAGCATATCCAAATAATAGTCTTCCAAATTCGGGCTAATGTAAATGGATTACTTTGCAGTCTGCATCTGTAATGTTGTTTGTAGCATATCCAGTTGGGTATTGATGAGATTAAAAGATAGGGTTTCAGTAGACAAAAACTTAGTTCTTATGTATCTTAGGCATGTATTTTTTTTTCAAGGTAAGCAGATAAGATAACTTTTATACGTGAGAGATGACAGAAAGAAAAGTAATAATGGATTTCTTGCTAAAATTTTTAAAGGTTTATTGTGACAAATAAAACCACAGCAAGCAGAGAAGATACCAATAGCTGTAAACTAAATGATTCACATTACAGATTTGAGTTCCACTCACTGGGAATCCTGAGCTTCTTGGAAACCAGCATCACCAGTGGTAGAAAAGGGGAGGAATGGCTGAGTGTCAGGTGGCCTGTGTATCATAAGACTGTGGAGGTGGAGGGTTTTTCCTCCTCATTTACAGAAAATGCAGGCCCTACTGACTCAGAAATTTTTCTTTATTTGGTTACTGTAATTATTGATTAATATTATTAAGATTAATTATAGATTAAGATTGAATAATAAAAGACATAGTTAAACAAAAGTGTTAGATTACATTAGGACACGTTATTAAGGTAAGATCAGAGAGAGTCCTTCTTTGTGAGTGTTTGGGAGGAGTTGAGATAAATTTCTTTGGGGCACAGTTTAAGTTTGGGTCCAGCCAGCAAGTGGAGAGATGATGCAGATGACCTTTCAGCATCCCCCACCCCCGACACACACACCTCACCAGCACCTGTCCTCAGGGTGATGTCGGGAATTGGGGAGTTTGGTTTTAGGAGAAAACATACCTTCATAGGAGTTATAATCCTCTTTTTCCCTGCACCCCTTGCGTTTTCAGTGCCGATACAAAAGAAATCAGACTCTCCAACTAAGCTCTTTGAAAGTACTGATATGGGATTAATGCTAACTTTTGACCTATTTGAGCAGGATTTTCATTAGCTTTTAGACTAAACTGCATAGCAAGGTGATTGTTGTCAAGATAACTTAATTCACACACAGTTTTCAGAGGAAAGAATATCTGTTTTCCTTCTTGTTGCTAATTTGAAGAGTTTAAGTTAGTAGTTTTGTTTTATAGTAGGAAAGGAGATGTTAAAATAATTTGATACTCAAAAAACAATAGTGAAAAGATAGTCTTATTTGTTAAAATGACTATTACAAGTGAATCTTGAAAGTCATAGTAAATTCCTCCTTTGATTTTCATTATGTATTATTTTCTTTTTAACTTGCCCTATGACTCCTTGTACGTGGATTTTTTCTTGTTTTAGTAAAATGGCGAAACTGGAGGAACTTGAAGAAGTTGATATCAGTGGGAACAAACTGAAAGCCATCCCAACAACCATCACAAACTGCCGGCGCATGCACACCGTGATCGCCCACTCCAACTGCATCGAGGTCTTTCCTGAAGTTATGCAGCTCCCAGAAATCAAGGTATGTGGTTTCAGCCCATCTACTGTGGTGTCCAAAGAGAGAATTATGTGTCTCATTCACTCATTCGGGCATTTGCACCATTGACTTCCTCAGCATGGAGACTCAGTTGTCTTTGCCCCATTCTTTCTAACCACTGAGCTAAACTATTGAGTCAGCAGAAGGGAAAAATAACCAGAAACCAAACCGTTGGACTGGGATTGGGAAATTGTATTCCAGCCCTTACCAACTGCATGGCATGAGGCTAGCCACATAGCCACTGAAGGTTTCTCATCTGCCTAATCTATTTTCCTACTTATTTCCAGGCTCAGAGACTGAATGGGGTGTGATAGCAGTCTGAGAAACTTAATGGTGCCAGTATACCCGTCCCCACCAGCTCCCCTAATTAAGTAGCATTCACCACCACAGCACCCAACTCATAATCATTCCCTGTATAGGTCACCAAATATTCATTTCAGTTTAATGAAGTGGGATAGAACAGATATTCCCATTTGATAGGTTAGGAAACTGAGGTGCTGAAACAGGAAATGATATATGTAAATGAAGGCAGCAGTTGGTGTGATTCCTGAGTCAGGTAGACTTAATGGGGTGAAATCTGTTCACTGGGATGAGTCATCTAACAGGTTTTTATTTGTGTGTGTGTGTGTGTGTGTGTGTGTTTGTATGTGCATTGGTGCAAAAGTAGTAATTCCTTATAGATATAAAATGTAGCTTTTCATTTGCATCTTAGAATTTCTGCTTATCCTCAGTTTTATGTTTAATAAAGAGAAAGTCAGATTTTGACACAATTTACATATGCTAAGTCTGTACCTAAGTCTGCTGTTTTATTTCCTGTGTGTGTGTGTGTGTTTTTATGTGTGTGTGTGTGTGTGTGTGTGTGTTTGTATGTGCATTGGTGCAAAAGTAGTAATTCCTTATAGATATAAAATGTAGCTTTTCATTTGCATCTTAGAATTTCTGCTTATCCTCAGTTTTATGCTTAATAAAAAGTAACTCAGTGGTTATAGACTTTGGAGCATATTCTAGTCTCCTAATAAGGAACAAAAGCTGTCCTACTTAGCCATTCCTCACTTTTCAGGCACTTCCCAATATAAACTTGATATAACAGACATTTGAAGATACTATAAATAACATGCATAATTTTTTTACGACAGTGGTTTTTATACATTTACCTGGTTGACGTGTGCCTTCTTTGACATCCTGAGGAATTCGGTGGCAGGTTGAAGGGCAGGAGGAGTGTGAAACTGGAGTGTGACCAGATGGAATAAATGTCATCAGAGTATCACCCTGATGACAGCATTGTCGGGAGAGGGTCAGAGGGAAGGGAAACTGAAAGCAAAGCTAGGGAGGGTCATAGTCCTCCAGGGGAATGTGATGGACAGGATAATGAAGGACTCAGAAGGGAACTGGCTGCAGTGAATTAAAGACATGGTGACCAAATGGGCCTGGGCGGGGTTATATAAGTAACATCTCTAAGAAGGTCCGCTTTCCACAGCCAGTTATTATCTTTGTAAATAAATACTCTAGTGAACTCATTTTATAATTTGGTAATATAAGAATGAGCAATTTTACATTGACAGAACTCTGAAAGTTTAAAACCTTAGATCACATTATAAAACATTGCTAACCAATTTTATAAAATTTAGTAATGTACTAAAATGCCTTTTTAGATTATGGGAATCTTTTCCCATAATCCATGCCCTGACCTCTGAATTTATTTCTGTCAGCCACATATGTTGTGAGCTACCCACCTGCCAGCCCTTAAGCTCAGGTTTCAAAATTACCCAGCAGATTATATTCATACCATTTGTTGTCTTATCTGTGATGTATTCCGACTCTACTGGCAGAATAAACCATTATTAACCAGTATTATAAATTTTTCATTAAAGTCCAGTTGACTATTCATGCAACCATTATTTATAATTGGAAAATAAAACAAAAAGGAGATGACCATTTTTCTATTATGAATGTTTTGATTAAGTGAAATATTGTACTTAACTGAAATTATTAAGGCTGTTAAAGGTGTTGGGAGTGAAAATATGGAATAATTGCAATGTAATGAAATGGTACCTACATTTATGATCTTTTAAAGTTTTTTATATTAATAATAAGCCAATAAGAAAAAAAGTAGAATGCTAACACTGGTAGTGTTAAGGTGGTAAATTTAAGGGCAAGTTTTCTAAGCTTTTCTGTTTGTCCAACCTTTTGTAATGGGGTCATAAAGCTCTTGTATTAAAAAGTAATTACTTAAGATTATAATATAATTTTATTGCATTGCTGCAGTTTGGGAGCAAGAGTATGAAACAATTTGTGTGAAATGTATTATCAGTTAAAAACACATTTCTTCAAAAATATAGGTTCTCATTTTACCTAGTCTATAGCTCTCCCCAATCCATTATAGATTTAAGTTCTTTTAAGAATTTTTCCAAATAACGATGATTTTGTCCACCTTTGAGGATTCCGAAATTCTTGAATACAATTTGCTTTCAAACTATCTTAAGGTTTATCAATAGGCTGTGGTACATTTACACCAGGGAATATTATGCAGCAGTGAAAAAGAAGGATCGCTTACTCTTTAAGATAACATGGAGGGACCTGGAGAGTATTATGCTAAGCAAAATAATCCTGTCAGAGAAAGACAAATACCATGATTTCACTTATATGTGTAACCTAATGAACAAAATAAACTGATGAACAAAATAGGTCTAGAGACATAGAAGCATGGGACAGACTTACAAATCTCAGAGAAAAGGCAGGTGTGGGTTGTGGCTGGGAAGAGATCAACCAAAGAACTCGTATGGATATACTATATATGCATAACCCATGGACACCGGAAAACAATAGTGTGGGGAAGGCGTGGGGTGGGGGCCGGCTAGAAGGAGTCAATGGGGGGAAGTGGGGTACATATGTAATACTTTCTGAAATAAAGATTTAAAAATAAAAATAAAATTATCGTCAGGTGCCAGCTCAAGCCAGATAACTGAATGCTTTCCACTTCATCCTTCTGAATTTGGGGTCCACATTCCCTTATCCAGAAAACTTACCAGTTACTCTTATTCTGGCCTGTGCATGGGAGCCTTCTGCCCTGGCTCCCTGCTCCCGGAGCAGAAGCACAGCCCCTGGTGTTAGGGCTCACCTCATTTAAGCCTTCCACTGACTTTATGAGAAAGGAGGCATTATTCCCATTCACAGATAACACAGAATTTCTACTCTCATCCATATGCTGACCCTTCTGCTTGTTCTGATGAGATTAGGCGGGAGTTGCTGGGAGGGTCCAGGTGTTCAGTGCCCGAAGGGCAGGATCCATATTTAACTCCTGCCCTTTTCTATTGCAGATAGTAGACAGGCCCATGTGCTAGTCTGTCTTTTACTGATATCTTACTTAGCTTCTTTTGAAGATCTTATCATTCTGATTATTTGTTCCCTGCTTTTTCCCCATTTGCATGGTTTTTTGTTTGTTTTAAGAAGCTCCATTTTGATGTTGTAACTACCTCATGTTCACAACAGGTGCAGAGATTTTTGTCAGCAATAAGAAAAGGTACCCTGAGGATATTTCAGTTAACTCTTAATTTTTAAATGTACAGAAAACTTTGAAGGATAAAGATGGGGACAAGAAAGAGCATGGATTTTTTTGCATTATTCAAACAGAGTAAAAATTTAAACTGCATTTAACAAAACCTGTTTCCAATATCTGTGGCAGAGTGGCCACCAAACTTTTCTGCATTTGAGCAGCGAATGTAGCAAATGGTTAGGCTGATTCCGCTGGGAGGCACAGGAGCTCCGAACCACCTGACCCTCTCCTTGTTCCCACTTATTTCTTCAGTGTGTGGACCTGAGCTGTAACGAGCTAAGCGAAGTCACTTTACCAGAAAACCTGCCTCCAAAATTGCAAGAACTAGACCTGACTGGAAACCCCCGGCTGGCTCTCGATCACAAAACCCTGGAACTGCTGAAGTAAGTGTTTCATGAGGCACTGACAACAGGCTTACACCTGAGTAAGAACATCAGTCTAGCATCTACTCACATCCTAGTGGTATCTTCACTCATTTGAAGTCATTTGAAAGTCTGTAGTTCACCAAAATGGAGGGCCAAAACATTCTAATAGTTGGACACGCAGAAATTTAAAAACAACCCCCCCCCCCCCAAACAAAAAGGAACAAGAATACTGAATACAAAGAAGAAAATGGAAAATAAAGACAAAGGTGAGAACAACAAATGACCAAGACATGAACTTCCATCTTGGTTACTGACAACATGGGTGATGTGTAGTGCAGATGTTTCTGTAGGATTTTTTTGTTTTAAATATATTTTTATTGATTTCAGAGAGGAGGGAGAAGGAGAGAGAGTTAGAAACATCAATGATGAGAGAGAATCATTGATCGGCTGCCTCCCGCACGCACCCCCACTGGGGATGGAGCCCGCAACCCAGGCATGCTCCCTTGGCCGGAATCGAACCTGGGACCCTTCAGTCCACAGGTCGACACTCTATCCACTGAGCCAAGCAAAGCCAGCCAGGGCTTCTGTAGGATTTTAAGAGAGGAATCACGTGGGAAAATTACAATTTAGATTATTTAAACAAAACTGGGAGTGTGGGATAATTAGATCCTGTGACGTTCTATTCGTGTTTTGGCAAAGAGTTCATAGCTACTGTCTCAATCTTGAAGTTGATGGAGAATCACAGGTTCAAGCTCGCTATGTAAAATACTAAAAAGGTAACCTCATTAGAGAAGATGTCTTTATAGGAATGTTATCTCAGAGCTCTAAATATCAATAGAATTAAATGAATTATGCTCCACAGTTAAATATTATACAACCATTAAAAATGATGCGCAGTTATATTACTAATTTGCGAGGTCTCCACAGTATAATGTGAAAAGAAAGGGAAAAGAAAGTTAAAGAAGAAGTTTGTATAATATAATTCCACTTTTTGTAAAAGTAAATCTCTGTGCATTGGGTGGTCATGTGTGTGCTCAGGCACACCTAGAAAAATACCTCAAAGGATAGAAAAAATGTAATAGTGTTATTCTTGGGATAATAGGGTTATGGGTGGTCTTAATTTTTTTCTTTAAACTTTTCTGAATTTTTGGACTTTTTTGCTATGTATCTTAAAGTAACAGTCTTAGACAGTGACAGCTATCAGTCATTATGTATGCCTTGTATGCCTTATATGCTTAAACCCTGTTGTAACATCTGTTGCTGAAAGTCATCCTCTATTATCTTAGGAAAAAACAAAAAAAAAGGGTAGAATTTTGAAAGTATAATTTTGGTCCATTAGTCTAGCCTAACCTTTAGTGCAAACTAAAATTTGAAAAGCATTTAAGGTGATTCCTAGATGCATTGGCCTAATCAATGCCTGTTTGTTGATATTTTAAGTCCTGAATGAGCACATTGATTTCAATATATAATTGAAGAATACTGCCTAAGTAGTGTCCTCAGGAAGCCTCAGAGACCTAGACTCTCTCTACTGTTCATCAAACAGTATGGGAAGCGTTGGCCCAAATCCCTCAGTCTGTCCAGACCTTAGTTTTCTCCTCTCTAGGATGGGAAGGATGGCCAACATGCTCTCCAAGGACTTCTCAGAATGAGAGTCTATATAGTATATTTTGTATTAAAAAATAATTGCATCAAAATTTGCTAATAAATGCAACTAGCTGTTTGGAGAAAAATAAAAGTTGAATTCTTATCTCATACCAAAATAAATTCCAGCTAAATTAAACCTATAAAATAAAATAATTTTTTAAAGTAAGAAGAAATTATATGAATATATTCACAAGCCAGAAAAGTACTTTTTAGCCAAAAAGGGAGGAGAGGGGGACCACAGGAAGAGAAATCTATAATATATATAGATTGGATTTTATGTTTATGTTATGTATATCCTATATAATAAAAGCATAATATGCAAATCAACCGAACAGCAGAACAACCACTCGGCAGGGGGTGGGGCCGGCGAGCAGGCAGTGCCAGGCCAGCCAAGGCGCATGCCAGCTGGCAGAGGGAGGGATCGGCGATGGGAGGTGGCAGCAACCAGCAGCAGCAGTGGAGAGGCAATGGGGGGTCTGGTACCATCCCCTGATTGGCCCGTCCCACAGAGGGAGGCTGGGCGACAGCGGCGGGGTGAAGGGGGCAGTGCCATCTCCTAATCGGTAGGCCCGGTCACCTCCCGCAGAGGGAGGCCAGACTGCCATCAGTAGGACATCCCCTGAGGACTCCAGGATTGTGAGAGGGTGCAGGCCGGGCTGAGGGATCCCCCCTACCCCCGTGCATGAATTTTCGTACACTGGGCCTCTAGTTTGTATATAATACTTTCTATGCATAGAAGGTTTAAATGTCTATTCTAAAAGCTATCGTGATTAAATCTAAAAGAAATGACAAACTAAGGACATTGGCAAAGAATTAATACTTAATAGAAAATGTTCTTATAAGTCAGTAAGAAAAGCACTAAAAAAAATGTGAAAGACATTAACGTTTAACAAAAGAAATACAGTTACATGAAAAGATCATGTTCAACATTACTAGTACATCAAGGAAATATTAAATATTTAAAGGATAATTATTTTCTCCCTCTAATTGGTGCTTCATTGTGACTATAAATGGATATAACTTTTCCTAAAATCTACTGGCCCTGTGTATCAAGCTTCTCAAAATATTCCCATACTGAGACCAAGGTTTTATCTGGAAAAAAATTATTCTAACAAATAATCAGAAATGTGTTTATTTTTGGGTGCAGAATAATCATCAAGATATTTCTAATTATATTTGTCATCAATGTAAAATAATGAAAAATGTCCATGATTTAATCAGAAAAAAAGATGCAAAGCTATAGATAGGTAGGAATGTAGGTAGGTAGGTAGATAGGTAGACAGACAGACAGACATGCTATTATATATACACACTAGAGGTCTGGTGCACAAATTCGTGCACTGGTGGGGTCCCTCAGCCTGGCTGGTGATTGGGGTCGATTGGGGCATCTCGCCCAGTCCCAATTGGGCCGATAGGGGCCAGCTGGCCGGCCAGGGGGCGGCACCACAGGAGGTTGGCCAGCTGCGGGAGGTTGGCTGTGGAAGCACACTGATAAGACCTGGCTGGCTGCGAGTAGGGACCACGGGAGGTTGGCCATGGGAGTGCACTGATCACCAGGAGGCAGCTCCTGCATTGAGCGTCTACCCCCTGGTGGTCAGTGTGCGTCATAGCTACTGGCCGGTCGTCTGGTCCTAACAGTCACAATAACAGTCTATATATATAGACTAGAGCAGCTGTGGGCAAACTATGGCCCGCGGGCTGGATTCGGCCTGTTTGAAATGAATAAAACTAAAAAAAAAAAAAAAAAAACCATGGGGGGGTTTCCCCTCAGCCCAGCCTGCACCCTCTCCAATCTGGGACTGTCGGGGGATGTCTGACTGCAGGTCAGACATCACTCTCACAATCTGGGTCCGCTGGCTTGTAACTGCTCACTTGGCCCCCCTGCCCGCCTAGTCACCCCCAACTTCCCCCCTCTGCCAGCCTGGTTGCCCCTCCCTGTCCCCCCACCACCCGCCTGGTCACACTCAGCCACACCCCTGCCAGCCTGGTCGCCCCACACAGCCTGCTGTTCAGTCATTTGGTTGTCCTCACTAACCCCCCAGCCAGCCTTGTCACCCCACACTGCCTGTGGTTTCGGTCGTGACGGCCCCTGGCTTTTTACATATTAGGATGAGAGAAAACCTACTTGTTAAAGTTCTCTACAATGAGCATGTCACTGGAGGGGCCATGTAGGGAAGCACATGTGTGCTCTAAGGTTTAAAAATAATAAAATAAGCCGAAACCAGTTTGGCTCAGTGGATAGAGCGTCCGCCTGCGGACTGAAAGGTCCCAGGTTCGATTCCGGTCAAGGGCATGTACCTGGGTTGCGTGCACTTCCCCAGTGGGGGATGTGCAGGAGGCAGCTGATCAATGTTTCTCTCTCATCGATGTTTCTAACTCTCTATTTCTATCTCTCTCCTTTCCTCTCTGTAAAAAATCAATAAAATATATTTAAAAAAAATAATAATAATAAAATAAAATAAATAAAAATAATAATAAAATATGGGCCTGACCCATATGACTCAGTGGTTGAGCGTCAACCTAAGAACCAGTAGGTCACAGTTTGATTCCTGGTGAGGGCACATGCCAGGGCTGTGTGCTCAATCCCTGGTGGGGAGTGTGCAGGAGGCAACAGATAAATGATTCTCTCATCATTGATGGTTCTATTTTTCCCTCTCCCTTCCTCTCCAAAATAAATAAAAATATATTTTTAAAATATTCTAAACATCTAAGTTAAAGCAAAATAATAATCTTTTAAAAATCTATACTAATAAAAGGGTAATATGCTAATTAGACCTAACAACTTCCGGACAACTTTCCGGACGTCCTTTCGGACAAAGTCATGGTGTTGGGGCTGAGGCAGAGGTGGTTAGGGGTGATCAGACCGGCAGGGGAGAGCAGTTAGGGGGATTAGGCCAGCAGGGAGAGCAATTAGGAAGATCAGGCCGGCAGGCAGGTGAGCGGTTAGGAGCCAGCAGTCCCAGATTGCAAGAGGGATGTCTGACTGCTGGTTTAGGGTCGATCCCTAAACTGGCAGTCGGACATCCCCCAAGGGGTCCCTAATTGGAAAGGGTGCAGGCTGGGCTGAGGGGAACCCCCCCCCACACGAATTTCGTGCACTGGGCCACTAGTATTAAGTAAATAACAATGAAATCATAATACTCTTCTTATGTAAAAACGTTACCTTCTCTAACAGGCAGAAGATGGTGTCCTTTTAGTAACTTGGGAGAGTCTCCATAACTAATGTATTACTTGCACTTTTAGTGGGTTGGCCTGTTTGTTCTACATGAGCCAGGGTGTGCCTCTGGTGACTCTCCTGTATGACTGCACTCCAGTTCCTAGCCTACCCTGTAGTCTCACGCTCACTTAAAGATCTACGAGAGTCAACATTCGGGTCACTTCAGACAGCTGCTCAGCCACACTGTGCTCAGCTAGGTGGAGAATGAGAAATCACTGCTCCCGGGAAAGGATTATGGGGGAGTTTAAGGATTATGTATTCTTTAATAATCAGGCTAGGGAATGGAATTATTTCTTTGAAGGCTCTGTATTCCATCTGTAAAAAGTACAATGTCTTTAGAAATGAGCCTTCAGTTTTCCTCTAGAATTCAGAAAAGTAGCAGAGGTGTAGTGAGAGCCAACAGATAACAAAATTTTGGAGTCAAGTGTTTAAGTGCTATTTAAGTTAAGAGATTATACATACTATTTAAGTAAGGGGGGATGGGTAACTTATAAGTAGGAAGGATTTATTTTGCCATGTGGCAACCAGCTTTTCAAAAACCTGCTTCACATCTGTGTGACTTCCTGTTTGGGGGCACTGACTGCTTTCAGTAGGCTGGTTATTAATAAACCCCACTTGAGAGTTTACCCTTTTAGTATTTCTGTGTGAGTCCTGTTGAACCAATTATGGCCTATTAGAGTGGAGGTGAGGGAACAGCTTGTCTCCCATTTAAATATATGTAGTTAACATCTAATTTATTGAAATACTCCTCATTTACTTTGTAATCTAAACTAATAATAGAGGAATGTGCAAATTAGCTGGGATGCCATAACATCACGACCAAACAGCAGGGACCTGAGGCTACAAGGCGCCTGGCAGGGCAAGGGACCTCAGGCTGTGCCCCCCGCCCAGCAGGGCTTGATGGGGGACCTCAGGCCATGCCCCATGCCGGGCAGGGCTTGACAGGGGACCTCAGGCTGCACCCCTGCCCCAGCGCCAGGCTGGAGGTCCTCAGGCTGCACCCCTCGCCCAGCAAGGTTTGACGGGGGAATCTCAGGCCACACACAAGCCCACCCAGTGGGGCTTGATAGAGACCTCAGGCTGTGCCCCTTGCCTGGTGGAACTTGACAGGGGCTCTTAGGCCACAGGCTCCGCCCGGCAGGGCTTGACAGGGAACCTCAGGCTGTACACCCCACCCTGGTGCCAGGCCAGGGGACCTCAGGCCACGCCCCCTGCCCTGGCGCCAGGCCAGGAGACCTGAGGCTGCATCCCCACCTGGTGCTGGGCCGGGGGACTTGAGGCTGCACCCCCCTGCCCAGAGGGGCTTAACAAGATGGGGCTGGCCAGGTCTGGGTCTTCTGCGTTTTTGAAGTGCATGCGGGTGGTGGGCAGTGACTTGACTCTGGGTCCTGCAACATGCCCCAAACTCTGACAGGAGGGAGATTTTCATATACATTTTACTGATTTTCTTTCATCTCTGATGCTTTTATTATAAAGAAAGGGCAGCTGTAACCAGTTTGGCTCAGTGGATAGAGCATCGGCCTGCAGACTGAAAGAAAGGGCAAATAGCAATATTAAAATATTTCCTCTAATTCCCTTTTAATGTGTACAGATTTCGTGCACCGGGCCACTCGTTTTATTATATTAGTCTTAGTATGGTTGGCTGTGCTAGTGAGGAAAGAATTGGAAGTTTCAGGGTATGGCAAGTCCTCAATAATCTTTGTGAAATATTTTAAGGCATGATGTGAGCAGAAATTGGTGTTGAGGATGAATGTTGCAGAATTCTCTCACATCATCCAAACACAATATAATTGTGACTTGGGTTTCCATCTTTTCAAATCTGGGTGTTCATGTTTAATGCGATAGTTTAATTTCCTTTTCTCGCGCGAAGGTTCAGAGCTGTTCTTTTTATTCCCAGGAGGGAGCAGCCACTTAGTGCAGTGTATGCAACATCTACACTAATAAAAGAAAAAAATGGTAATTGGCGTACAACGCTACCCTTTTCATTGGCTAATCAGGGCATAATTAATTGCCAACTAAGATTGGCAGTTAACTGCCAACTAAGATTGGCAGTTAACTGCCAACAAGATGGCGGTTAATTTGCATATGTAGGCCCAATGCAGGGAGGCGAAAGGGAAAGCAGGAAGAAGCCCCCTGCCACTGACAGTGATCGGAAACCCCCCAGCCATGATCGGAGAATCGGGCGCCTTT